TGTTAGAAGGACTCTTTACTCTTTTACCCCTTTGTTCATTCTTTATATTTTGCCTCTTGTATTGGTGTTTATTTCAAGAAGTGAATTACTGATTCAATCCGCAATATATCAATCTTCTTCATCTCCATATTAATCTTATTATCTTACAAGGTATCAGAGAATGACTACCATTGCCGGAAATAACTCTGCTGGTAGTGAAAATGTAGCTCTAATTCCCTCCCCTATTGCTGAATTCTCTGAGCAATACAAGTTAGAAAACTCAGACAACACTGGAGCCATTTTGGTCACTGAATTGTTAACCACAGACAATTATCCCACCTGGTCAAGAGCACTCCGACGAGCACTTAGAGCAAAGAACAAGCTAGGATTTATCAATGGAACTTTGCTTAAACCTGAACCAACCAGTGACTCTTTTGATCCATGGGAAAGATGTAATGACATGGTTGTTTCCTAGATCCAAAATGCTATATTTCCTTCACTCAGATCCAATGTTGCCTTCATAGATGAGGCGAATGAAATCTGGATAGAACTTAAGGATCGTTTCTCCCAGCAAAATGGGCCCAGAATATACGAACTAAAAAAGGCGCTGGCTGATCTGGAGTAGGAGAATGACCCTGTGAGTGTTTACTATAGTAAGCTGAAAACAATCTGGGATGAACTCTCTGTCTATGACCCTATCCCAGAATGCAGCTGTGGCCAATTGAAGGTGCTAGTTGATAGACATCAACGTGACTGTGTGATAAAATTTCTGATGGGCCTGAATGAAGCTTATGACAACACCAGAGTACAAGTCATGATGCTTGATCCACTCCCACCTGTTAACAAGGTATTTTCTTACATGCAATAGCAGGAGAGGCAAAGACAACTTACCTCTACTGCTGTTATCAATGAAACTATTTCTATGGTTTCCAGAAAGTTCTATGGCGACAATAGATCGCTCAACTATGGAAAGCATAATGCAACAGATAAAAGGGACAAATCATATTGTACCTTTTGTAAAATACCTGGGTACACCTTAGACAAATGTTTCAAAGCAGGGAATGCTGAGGCTCCTATGTGTACGCATTACAACATGATTGGACACACCATGGAGAAGTGTTTTAAACTAAATGGTTATCCCCCAAACCATAAACTATACAAAGGATAGAGAAGATAAGAGACTTTTGCAAACCAGACAAGTGTCCTACTGGAGGAAAGTGAGAAGCCAATTTCCTAAACCAAGGGACAATATGAGGAATTCCTTGCCTTGATTCGACCCAAGGATAATGCACACCCCATTCACTCTGTCAATCATGTGTTTACTATTGACCATTCGAAAACTAAACCATCATCTGATTTATCTAGTAAGGTTATTTGTCTATCAGCTCAACGCACACACATTCAATTCACTAGCAGTCCATGGATCATTGACACAGGTGCTACAAATCATATGATCTATAGCACCAAGTTCTACACCTCCATTAAGTCAGAAATCCGCCTTTCAGTTAAATTATCCACTGGTGAAACTGTCCCGTCTACACACTCTGGTGAAGTAAAAATCACAGATTTACCAGCCTCGAATGATGTATTATGTGTTCCTAACTTTCGTTTCAATCTATTATCTGTTAAGAAATTAACACAGCAAATGACCTGCTGCCTTATTTTTCTGTCTAACACTTGCTACCTGCAGGACCTTTTATCTTGGAAGACGATTGGGAAGGGTGAATCATGATGTGTCTTATATCGACTCACTCCCAACAAAGTTCCACCTACAGCCCTAATGACCGTCCTATCAGCACTTAACCTTAGACAATCCTTTGCTACAACTTCTGTTTCTATTTTTATTCTGATGTTCAGCCACACCTGTGGCACTTTCGTTTAGGGCACATATCAGATACTAGAATGAAGCTTATTTCAGATAAATTTGTTGTTTCTCATTACAAGAACGGTAGCAGAATTCCATGTTTTATCTGCCCATTAGCCAAGAAACACAGAAATCCTTTTCCAATAAGCACACATAAGACTAAACAGATCTTCGAACTTATCCATTGTGGCATGTGGGGTCCTTGCCCCACCAGTGCACATGATGGCTCTAAGTATTTTCTTTCCATTGTGGATGACTTTTCACGAGCCGTTTGGGTGTATATGCTAAGAAGAAAATCTGATGTAAACCATTCTATAAAGGCATTTATTCAAATGAAAGAAAATCAGTTCCAAACCTCAGTTAAAATTTTGAAAAGCGACAATGGACTTGAGTTTAAATTGACCGATTTCTACAATCTAAAAGGGATCATTCACCAGAAAAGTTGTGTTGAAACCCCTCAACAAAATGGTATTATCCTTTTGGAGTTAAGGGATACAAAGTAATGGATATGCAGACCAAAAACATCTTTATATCTAGGGATGTCACATTCCATGAGACCTATTTCCCTTACAAACAAACTACAAGACCTGTTGATGAGGCTAAATTTGTCGTCACTAAACCACTTCCAGAAATCACCAACTATATCCCTGAAGCAATACCAGATGATGACCCTCATTCACCTAGAACACCTAATCAAGACACATGTGATGATCCTGCATTTAATGAAACACCTCACACTCCTGATGAAAATCCTCAAACATCACATCCTACACCACCTATTGTTCGAAAATCCACCAGAGTTAAAAGAGCTCCTCAGTACCTACAAGACTTCCATTGCCATCAGGCCACATCAGTTCATCCAAACCAATCTCCTGTCAAGGCAAAGATCCTGAACTCTACAGGTAAAGTTTTTCCCCTTTCTGAAACTATTTCTTATCATAAATTGTCATCTATGTTCAAAGCATTCTCTACTTCTATGTGCACACACACTGAACCTAGCACTTACCATCAAGCAATGAATTATCCAAACTGGTGCAAGGTAATGAATTCTGAAATACAGGCTCTTGAGTTAAATGAAACCTGGATTCTTATTGAACTTCCACCAGACAAGGCAGCAATTGGGTGTAAATGGGTATATAAACTAAAGTATAACTCGGATGGAAGTATTGAAAGGCACAAGGCAAGGCTCGTGGCCAAGGGATATACATAAAGGGAAGGAATAGATTATGGCTAGACCTTCTCACCTGTTGCAAAGTTGGTAACGGTTCGATGCTTACTAGCCATAGCAGCAATTCGGAACTAGCACCTAAGGCAATTTGATGTGAGTAATGCCTTCCTACATGGAGTATTGAATGAAGAGGTTTATATGTAAAGACTTCCTGGATATACTAAGGGAAATCCTAATCAAGTTTGCAAACTACTAAAGAGCATATATGGCTTGAAATAAGCCTCGAGACAGTGGTATTCTACCCTTTATGCAGCTTTTATACAATTTGGCTTCACTTAATCTAAGGCTGACTATAGTCTCTTCACTATGGTAACAAACCAATCCTTTATGGCTTTGCTTGTATATGTAGATGACATAGTTATAGCGAGCTCGAATCTGGAACAAATAGACACAATTTAAACATTTCTCAACAACAACTTCAAAATTAAAGCATTGGGTGATCTAAAGTACTTCCTCGGCCTTGAAGTTGCAAGATCAAGCAAGGGGATTGTCATTTCGCAATGAAAATATACCTTGGACTTGCTGGCTGATGCAGGATTACTTGGGGCCAAGCCAGTTAAGATGCCTATGGATCAAAATCTGAGGTTAGGAAGAGACATTGGAAAGCCACTACCAGATCCCACCATTTATAGAAAATTGATATATTTATCATTAAATAGACCTGATATATGCTATGCAATCCAGAATCTCAGTCAATACATAGCAACTTCTTCCTTCACACATCTGGTCGCAGATCATAAGGTAATCAGATACCTCAAGTTAGCACCAGGACAAGGACTCATGTTTTCATCTTCATCCTCACTGACTCTTCAAACATTCTTTGACTCTGATTGGGCGGCTTGCACTGACTCGCGAAGATCAGTTACTTGGAGAATCATTAATCTCTTGAAAATCCAAGAAGCAAACTGTAGTGTCTCGTTCGTATGCTGAATCGGAATATAGATCAATGGCCAGCACTTGTTGTGAGATTACCTGGCTGAAGTACATTTTAAAGGACCTCCAAGTTTGTCATCCTCAACCTGTCACCTTATACTGTGACAACCAAGCAGCGTTGCACATTGCTTCCAACCCCGTGTTTCATGAGAGAACTAAACATATAGCATTGGACTGCCACCTGATTAGAGATCAAATTGAAGCTGGACACATTTCCACATCATATGTTAATACTCAATCACAACTTGAAGACATTTCATGAGAGAACTAAACATATAGAATTGGACTGCCACCTGATCAGAGATCAAATTGAAGCTGGACACATTTCCACATCATATGTTAATACTCAATCACAACTTGAAGACATGTTTACTAAGGCACTCTCTTCTATCACTTTGAAGACTCACCTATCCAAGATGGAAATAGAAAACATCTATTCTCCATCTTGAGGGGGGTTGTTAAAATGGATAATGTTGCTCTCCTTTATCAGCATCAGCTCATCCTCCTTATCAGTTCAGCAATGTCGTCTCAATTATCAGCTAGAACACAAGGCAGCACACTTATCAAGCCAGGTGTCCTGCTAGCTCGTGTATCGCACATGGTTAGGTAGAATAATATTCCTTTTGTTGGATAGTTTGTTAGAAGGACTCTTTACTCTTTTACCCCCTTGTTCATTCTATATATTTTGCCTCTTGTATTGGTGTTTATTTCAAGAAGTGAATTACTGATTCAATCCGCAATATATCAATCTTCTTCATCTTCATATTATTCTCATTATCTTACACTTATCAAATTAATGATATTGTCTCAACTGAAGTGGAAGATTGAAGGGTGCAATATTTGGGGCTTATTGATGTTCTTCTAGCGGAACACAAAATCGAAGATGCAATAGAAGCGATTGACTCTGAAGAGTGAAGTCATCCTGACCTGAAAGGATCAGGGCAAGGTTCAGCTACTGAATCCTCATTTAAGTCTGCTCTATTGAAAAGCAAAACAATGCTAGAGAACCAGCTTATTGAGATCAGCCAACAGCCCTCAGTTGGCATACTGGAATTGAAAATGGTTTTATCTGGTTTATCAAAGCTTGGGAAAGGTCCCTTAGCGCATCAGATTTTTTTGAAGTCATATGGATTCCGCCTTCAGAGGAGCATTGAGGATTTTCTTGCATTGTGTCCTTGCTACCCAGAAACATATTCTACCACATTGTCTAACCTTGTGTTCTTAATGATTTCATTGACAACCAAAGAATCTGGTCTGATGTTTGGTGACAATCCTGTCTATAGTAATAAAATTGTTCAATGGGCAGAATGGGAAATTGAATCTCTTGTAAGGTTGGTCAAGGAAACTGCACCACCTTCTGAGAAAGCTTCGCTTTACGTGCAGCTAGTGTATGTGTTCAGGCTAGTCTTAACCATTGCTCCACCTTGGAATCACAAAGCCTCAAATTATCTAAGCTACTTTTGGTGCTTTTGCAACCATGTGTTGAAGAAGTCCTAGAATTAAATTTCAGAAGATCCAGAAGAGAGGTTCTTGATTTCGTAGGCAGTGATGAGAGCATACCATTATCACCTCGGTTTGCATCTCTGCTTTCTACTTTTGCAGCTTCTGATACTATGCTTGTTGATTGTGGTATGAGGTTTGTCTTTGTTGTCAAGGTGAGTAGATGATTTCAATTGCTACATTGTTTTATTCATTATCACAGGCTCCCATTCTTAAACAGCCATTGGCACCCCTTTTAGACAAGATTTCATTAGTATTGAATCTTTATCTCCCTTACTGTACATATAGAGCTTGATCATAGTGTAAGCTGAACTTAATTGAAAAATATATTCAAATTGTTTATCCACATTGTTTGACATTGTCCTCTGCTGGCTCCGTTTCCTCACCACCTGAAGCCCGCCTTGCCAACTAAGCTACCTCATTTGAAGCATGTCTCTTTAACTATTTGTAGATAGCACCGTGAGGTAACTGCCTTAGTGCGGATTAGGTCTTAGATGTCCTGCAGTGCAGTCCCAATATGCTTTTCATTAGTGATGAATCATATTGAAATATTAGATAAGTAGCCCTTTTCAGTCAAATTGTGGTTATAAAATCAGCCTTCTTGGAGGCCTCCCAATGGCATTGAATCGCCCGTTATGAGAGAACTACTGCTAAATATGCTGATGTATTTTGTTGTATCATGGTTTTCTTTGTTAAGATGTTTTTGTGCATTTGTGTGCGTGCGGGGTGGGGGAGCCAACTTATTTGGCCTGACTCTTGAATATATCAGTTATTATTACTATTGTCGAATCTTAATCTAGAGAGGTCCTCTTCGTTAAGCACATCGAGCCAGGATTGGACATTATCATCGTCTGACATACAAACTACACCATAAATATACTAATTTTGTGTTAATGCATCTCTTGAGATAACATCGACACATTTAATAATTCACTAGTTGAGCTGCTTGAGCAGCTAACTTGTAACGCTTCGAAAATTTTATAGAATAAAAATTTTATTTGTTTTATATGCTATATTTTAATATATTTTTTTTTAAAAAATGAGGATTAAAATGAAATAGGTTTTAAAAATAAATTTTATTTTTGGGTCAAATAATTAGATTTTGGTAGATTGAGTTTTATAATATCAATATTGGACTCGTTGGATAACTCGTAATTAATTAAAAGTATTCGACTCGAGAAAAAGTTGTTTTGGATAAGAACACATTAAGTTAGACCCAATTGAAAGAAAACAAGGTTTAATAAAATTTTAAATAATTTCTAACCCAAATCAATTTCTCCCTCTCTCCCGTGTGTGTGTGTGAAATGATAAAGTTTGATTTTGATAATGATAATTTTCTTTGTCATTTGATAAAGTTTAAAAGTAATCATAATTTTATTATTTGAAATCAATTCTTATCCAAATTTCTTATATACATCGTTTTAAATTCTAGTTGAATACAAACTCAATTGAGAGTTTCAATTATAAATATGGTAGGAATTCTCATTATTTCATCACGGAAAATAAATAGAGCCACGGTAAAGACAAAATGAGAGGAAAATGTATAAAAAAATGTAAGATCTTTTACGTGCAAGATTTTATTCTTTTCAAACATTTCAAAATCAAGATAAGATACTTTTGTGCAAGTAGTTCATTTCTTTATACTTTTATATTCAGCAATTTATCTATGAATTGCCAGTGCACTTTCGAGTTTTTTATTAAGAGATATGAGATCTTACGAGAATTTAAGATGACCTAAGATGGGTGTGTCTCTTAGCCACCGATATACTGGTAACTCAATTTTGTTGATTGGAGCTTATAGATTTAGACAAAGATGGTGAAAAAGCATAATGACTTCGTAACATTTTGGAGGACATTCCATGCTAGCCTAAGCCGGTACCTACTAGAAGTCTAGATTGTGATAGTTAAGAGGCTATTGGAATGGTACAAAACAGTATGTATAATGACAGGTATAGACTCATACATTGTAGACATAATATCATTAAGCATTTGATCTCAATTGTATTATTTCCATTGATTATGTGAAATCAAAATAGAACATTGCAGT